TTGTCAGTGAAGGCAAACATGGGTATACGGGAGGGCAGATGGGTGGACAGGCTGAACTGTTAGGTATGTCTATGAAACAGGGAGTGTACCCAAGACCATGTATAGGGTTGGCAGACAATGGTCCTATCAGTGTATTTGTATGATCTGTAAGAATTCCCAAGTGTATAGCAGAGTAGACAAGGGACAAGGTAGTAGTAGTCACTTGTTGGTCACAGCCAGCTATGCAGAGGGACCGAGTAGTTGAACCTTGGGCTCAGGATCACAGTCACAGGAGACATCAAGCTCAACTGGCATAACATACTACACGAAACATTGTTCGAACGCCTACTTTGGTGAGTAGGAACTGGGATCTTAAAAGCTTTCAAACAGCCATCTAGATGCAATGATTGGTCTCTCCTTGTCCAGAGCAAAGAAGAATGAAGAAAACCAAAGATTCACGGAAACCATTAGTCCTAGCATCTGGTACACCATGCGATCCACAGCCTATATGACTATAAGACCAGAAGAGCCAAATGGTGCACAGCTACCACTATTAACGAGTTGGAGGGGGATCTATGTAGGAGATCCTGGATAGAGAGGGAGAACAATGTGGAACAAAACTCAAAATCATTTGGGAAAAATAAAAGGGGAGGGCAGGTTTACTGGTCTGATAGAGCCTGGTGGAACCACTGAGAGACTATGGCCTCTAGGTGCCCTCTAGGTCTGGAATTGAACCTACACCTGTGGCTTCCAGACAAACAAAAGACAGGCATATGAGTTGAACATTTACCTGAGGTAGATACACTCCTTAGATAGAACAGTCAAGAGAGAAAGGGCTGTTTATGCACAGGGAGATAGCTCAGAAGGCAGGTGCATGGAAGCATGGAAGCATGGAAACAGGGAAAAGGTAACTATCAGAAGGAAGTGGGAGGGGAGCTGTTGCATTGTGGTAAATTGTAATCAATGTCATGAGACAAAGTATATGTGAACTGCTGTATGGAAAGTGAATTTGCTCTGTAAATTTTCACACAAATCACGATTAAAAAAAAAAGAAAAGAAAAAGCCTCAAAATACATGAGCCAGATTTTAACAGAACTGAAAGCATAGTGCCTAAGGCACTTGACTGCTAACCAGAGAGCTGGCGGTTCTAACCCATCAGCCACTCCTCGGAAGGAAGATGGGGCAATCTACTTCCATAGTGATACTGCCTCGGAAACCCAAGGAGGGGTTGCTATGAGTTGAGTCCAACTCGATGGCAAACAACAAAAACAACAGTAATAATAAGAGACTTGAATATACTACTTTCAATGAAGGTAGAAATAAACTCAACGAAGACACAGAAGAACTAAACAATACACTCAACCAACTTGACCTTACAGGTATATTCAGAGCACTTCACTTAACAACAGCATAATATACATTCTTTTCTACTACATCTGGAACATTCTCTAGACTAGACCATATGTTAGGCCACAAAGCAAGCCCCAATAAATTTAAAAACATCAAAATATTGTAAAGCATCTTCTCAGATCACAATGCTACAAAATTGGAAACCAATAATAGGATGATCAAAGGAAAAAAATCAAACACATGGAAACTGAGTAACACTTTCCTTAAAAACTACTAGGTAATGGTAGCATAGTGGCTAAGTCACTTGCCTGCTAACCAGACGGCTGGCGGTTCAAACCCACCAGCCACTCCTCGGAAGGAAGGTTGGGCAATCCTACTTCCGTAGTGATACTGCCTCGAAAACCCAAGGAGGGGTCGCTATGAGTCGGGCCGACCCGATGGCACATAACAACAACAACAATATTAGAAACAAAAAATGAAATTAAAAATATCTTGAACGAAATGAGAATGAAAACACAACATACCAAAATCTTTGGGACACAGCAAAAGCAGTGCTCAGAGGGCAATTTATAACAATAAATGCACACATCAAAAAAGAAGAAAGAGCCAAAATCAACACCTTATCCTAACATCTCCAATAATTAGAAAAAGAGTAGCAAAATAAGCCTACAGCAAAATAAGTCTACAGCAAAATAAGTCACCAAAAGAAGAGAAATAATAAAGACTCAAAAAAAAAAAAGAAACCTGCAATGAGTCAATTCTGACTCATAGCAAATCCCACTGGATTTCCAAGGTGGTAAAGCTTTATGGAAGTAGATTTTTCCATCATCCTTTCCTGGAGTGGCTGGTGGGTTTGATCTGCCAACCTTCTGATTAGCAGTCAAATGCTTTAAGCACTACACCAACAGAGCGCCTCAATAAAGATTCAAGCGGGAATAAATGGAAATAAAACAGAAAAGCCATAGAAAGAATCAACACAACTAGAAATTAGTTCTTTGAAAAGATTAATAAAACTGACAAACCACTGGCAAATTTAACAAAGGAAAAGAAGGAGAGATGCAAGTAACACCAATAAGAAATGAAATGGGCTACATCACAACAGAACCAACCAAAATAAAAGGAATAATATAGGATACTATGACAAACTATACTCTAACAAATCCGAAAACCTAAAAGATATGGACAGATTTCTAGGCTTACTTACCTAAACTAACACAGACTGAGGTAGAAAATGTGCAACAGACCCGTAACAGAAAAACAGGTCATAAAAAACTACCAACAAAAAAAAAAGTCCTGGCCAAGACAGCCTCCCTGAAGAATGCTACACAACATTCAGAGAAGAGCTGACACCAATTCTACTCAAACTATTCCAAAACACAAAAAAGGATGGAATCCTCCCAAATTCTACATATAAAGCAAACATAATCCTGATACCAAAACCAGACAAAGACATCAATGGAAAGGAAAACTACAGAACAGTGTCTCTCATGAATATAAATGTAAAAATCGTGAACAAAATCCTAGCCAATAGACTCCAAGAACATTTCAAAAAAAATTAATATATCATAACCAAGCATGATTCATACCAGGTATGCAAGGATGGTTCAACATTAGAAAAAACAATCAATATAATCTATCACATAAGTAAAATAAAAGAACCACATGATCATATCAATCAAGGCAGAAAAAGCATTTGATAAAATCAGCCGATTCCTGACAAAAACTCTCAGGAAAATTGGAATAGAAGGAAAATTCTTCAATATAATAAAGGGCATATATGCAAAACCAACAGCCAACATTATTCTCAATGTAGAGAGGCTGAAACGGGAATCAGACAAGGATGCCTTCTATCACCAGTTCTCCTCAACATTGTTTTTTGCAGTCCTAGCCAGGGCAATAAGGCAAGAAAGGGAAATAAAAGGTATCTAAATTGGCAAAGAAAAAGTAAAACTACCTCTATTTGCAGATGATATGATCCTATACAAAGAAAAACCACTCAGGGGGAAAAGAAAAAAAACTACTACAACTAAATGAAAGATTCTGCAAAGTGGCAGAATACAAGATCAACATACAAAATCACTTGCATTCCTCTACATCTACAAAAAGATCTCTGAAAAGGAAATAAGGAAAAATGATACCATTTACAATAGCTATCAAAAAGACAACATACTTAAGAATAAATCTTACCAAGGACACAAAAGATCTATACAAAGAAAACTACAAAAATACTACTACAAGAAACTTTAAGAAACTCCAAAACCAAAAGAATTCTGGTGGCACAGTGCCTAAGAAAATACAAAAATACTACTACAAGAAACTGTAAGAGAGCTACATAAATGGAAGAACATACCATGCTTATGGATCCGAAGACAAAACATTGTGAAAAATGTCAATACTACCCAAAGCAATCTATAGATTATGCAATCCTGATCCATCATTATTATTTAAGGACATGAAAAAAACCAATCACTAATTTTATACGGAAGGAGACCTCAGATAAGCAAAATACCACTAAAGGTGAAGAACAAAGGCAGTCTCACACTCCCAGTCTCAAAACCTACTATACAGCCACCATAGTCAGAACAGCCTGGGACTGGTATAACACACACTTAGACCAGTGGAACAGAACTGAGAATCCAGAAATAGATCCATCCACCTATGGACAGCTGATCTTTGACAAAGGGCCGAAACTCATTAAATGGGGGAAGAAATAGTCTCTTTAACCAATGATGCTGGCAAAGCTGGATATTCATTTGCAGAAAAATGAAACAACATCCATACCTCACACCCTATACAAAAACTAACTCCAGATGGATCAAACACCTAAATGTAAAACTTAATATTATAAAGATCATCAAAGAAAAATAGGGGAAAACTTAGGGGCTCTAATTTATGGTATAAATAGAACATCAAACAACTAAAAATATACAAACAACATAAGATAAACTAGATGATTGGGACCTTCTAAAAATTAAACACTTAGGCACATCAAAAGATTTCTCCAAAAGAGGAAAAAGATAACTTACAGACTGGGAAAAAGTATTTGGCAATGATATACCCAAGAAGGAATTGTTGTTGTTGTTAGGTGCCGTCGAGTCGGATCCTACTCATAGAGACCCTTCCTTGGATTTCTGAGGTGGTATCACTTCAGAAGTAAATAGTCCAACCTTTCTCCCAAGGAGTAGCTGGTGGGTTTGAACCACCAGCCTTCTGGTTAGCAGTCAAGTGCCTTAGGCACTACACTACCAGAGCTCCTAACAAGGGACCAATCTCCAAAATGTATAGAAAACTTCAATACTTCAACAACAAAAAGGCAAATAATCCTATTAAAAATGGGCAAAAGACATGAACAGCCAGTTCACCAGAGATATTCAAGTAGCTCACAAACACATGAAGAAATGCTAATGATCACTAGCCATTGTTGTTGTTGTTATGTGCCGTCAAGTCGGCACCGACTCATAGCAACTGCGGTGTAGTAATTACTTAGTGTGGCTTTTCAACCCATAAGTCTTTGTAAACTCCAAGGTGGGAATTGCTATTAGCAACTGAGGAGATCCTCATTGCTAAAGTCGTCCACCTGGAGTATTTCTGTTGGGAGTGGCACAAAACAATGTTCTGGGAGGTTCCCACTCTCTCTCACGTGCTTAGAGTTCTGATGCTATGATTGGCTAGTTTGGCCACTCTGCCGGGCTCAAAAGGAGGCCTCCTAGAGGCAGAACTCTCTCTGACTGCTGGTTGAGGAAGACGTGCTGCTGAAAGAGACACGCGCCCCGGAAAGAGACACATGCTGCTGGGAAAGAGACCAAGAGACACGCATTGCTGAGTAAGACACCGAGGGACATGCACTGCTGGGGGAGAGACTGTAAGAGACTTGGCTGAGAGACAGTGGGCTGGGAGAGAGACAGCATTTTTTTTGACCTTGAATTGTAGCCTGGTGCTTCCCTAATAAACTCCATAATCTGTGAGTTCTGTGTGGCCACTGCAGCAAATTATCGAATCCAGGAGAGAGGTGGTGGGTGCTTTGGGAGGAACAGTTGGTGAAAGGGCTAGAGGGAGGCAGCATGTCTGTCTGGCCTTGCAGTAATAGGCTTTGGGCTACTGATGGTGATTCTGCCTTCCTCTTGTGGGATTAGAGGAGGTCAGAATATGTGGCCCCCTTGCCATTTTTGCAGTGACCCCTCCTTGGGTTTCCAAGGCAGTATCACTACGGAGGTAGATTGCCCAACCTTCCTTCCAAGGCTGGTGGGTTTGAACCGCCAGCCTTCTGGTTAGCAGTCTAGTGACTTAGGCATTATGCTACCAGAGCTCTTATCATTAGCCATTAGAGAGATGCAAATCAAAACAATGAGATATCATTCCACCCCAGTATTAACAGCAGAGTTCAGTAAAAAATAACAAATGCAGGCAAGGGTGTGGAGAGAATGGAACCCTCATACACTGTTCATGGGACTGTAAAATGGTGGAAGCACTATAGAAAATGGTATGGCACTTCCTTAAAAAATTGGAAATAGAAATATCTGATCCAGCAATCCCACAACTAGGTATATATTGTAGAGAAAAAAGAGCCATGACATGAACAGATATATGAAAACCCATCTTCATCACAGTATTACTCACAATAGTAAAAAGATGGAAACAACCTAAGTGCCCATCAACAGATGAATGGATAAACAAACTATGGTACATACACACAATGAATTACTATGAAACAGTAAAGAATATCAATTAATCTACAAAATACTCCATAACATGGTTGAACCTGAAGAATATTACCATGAGTTAAATTAGTCAATCACAAAAGCACAAATATTGTATAAGACCACTACTGAAAAAAGTCAAGAAAAGGTTTACACACAGGAACAAACATTCTTTGAAAGTTACCTTGGGAAGGAGGGGAAGGAGAGTAAATCACTAACTAGAGGATAGACAAGTATTAACTTGGGTAAAGGGAGAGGCAATATACAGTAAGTGGGAGGTCAACACAAAATGATCAAGGCAAAGAAAGACACTGGGTTAAAGTGTTGCACAAGAGTTAAAGGCAACAAAAATAAAAACTATTGCATACACAATCCTGCAATAACAGTAATAACAATAATCTATGAGCGGACACATACAGACAAGCTGAACAGGGGTAGGAAGGCAAACAGGACTATACCCACAAATATATATAAGTTTTACAGAGGATGTTTCTACATATGTATTTATAGGAGTTATAAATATACCCATGAATATAACAGAGGATACAGGGGGCAAAGTTATGAAAACTTCTTAGCCACAATCAAACACCCTGAGGGAATGAACCACTGGGCAGTGGGGCCCAGGATCATAGTCTTGGAGGATATTAAGGTCAATTGGCATAATACAGTCCATAAAGACAATGGTGAGTAGTGATTGGGGCCTTAAAAGCTTAGAAGCAGCCATCTAAGGTTAAACTATTGGTCTCTCACCATCTAGACCAAAGGAGAATGAAGAAAATCAAAGATACAAGGAAACAATTAGTCCAATGGACATGCAGACTGCATGTCCCTGAAACCAGAGGAACTAGATGGTGCCAACTACCACTTCTGACTGCTCTCAAAAGGGCCACAAGAGAAACTCCTGGGTGAGTAGGAGAAAAATGTGGAACAAAACTCAAAATCATAAAAAAAAACACCAGGCTCATTGGTCTGGCAGAGACTGGTGGGATTTCCAAGACTATTGCCCTTACACACCCATCAAGCCTGAAAATGAATTCATCGTTGTGGCTCAAATTTCACCCAAAGGAAAGACAGAATTATAAGATGAACAATAACACCAGAGAGGTATTAACTCATTAGAACAATCAACCATATGAGATCAAAAGGGCAGCATTTGCCCAGGGATTAAGCTCAGAAGGCAGGAAAGAAACAGGAAAGGAGGACAAAGGGTAAGGACAAACATAGGCAGGGAATAAGAATGCTGTTAAAGCAGACAATGTCACAAAACAAAATGTGTCAGAACTGTTGAATCGAAAACTATTTTGCTCTGTAAACTTTCACCCAAACCACAATGTAAAAATAAAAAAGAAGAAGCATATATGGAACAAGGCATACTGCTGATGTCAGATGGATCTTGGCTAAAAGCAGAAAATACCAGAAAGATGTTTACCTGTGTTTTATTGGCTATTCAAAAAGACTCAACTGTGTGGATCAAAACAAATTATGGGTAACACTGCAAAGAATGGGAATTCCAGAACACTTAATTGTGGTCCTAGGAACCTGTACATAGACCAAGAGGCAGGCATTCGAACAGAACAAGGGGATACTTCATAGTTTAAAATCAGAAAGGGGCACACCAGGGTTGTATCCCTTCACCATACTTATTCAATCTATATGCTGAGCAAATAATCCAAGAACATGAACTATATGAAGAACAACACAGCATCAGGATTGGACAAAGACTCATTAACAACCTGAGATATACAGATGACACAATCTTGCTTGCTGAAAGTGAAAAGGATTTGAAGCACTAACTAATGAAGATCAAAGACTACTGTCTTCAGTATAGATTTACCTCAACATACAACAAAAATCCTCAGAACTGTACCAATAAGCAACATCATCATAAAGAGAGAAAAGACTGAAGTTGTCCAGCATTTTATTTTACTTGGATCCATGATCAACGTCCATGAGAACAGCAGTCAAGAAATAAATGACATATTTCACTGGGTAAATCTGCTGCAAAAGACCTCTTTAACATGTTAAAAAAACAAAGACATCACATTGAGGACTAAGGTGCACCTGACCCACACCACTGTATTTCAATTGCTTCAGAGGAATGAGAAAGCTAGACAAAGAATAACAAAGATCAAAGAAAAAATGATCCATTTGAATTGTGGTGCTGGTGAAGAATATTAAATATACCATGGGTGGCCAAAAGAAAAAACAAATCTGCCTTGGACGAAGTCCATCCAGAATGCCCCTTAGAAGTGAGGATGGCAAGACTTTGTGTCATATACTTTGGACATGTTATCAGGACAGGCCAGTTCCTGGGAGAAGGCATTATGCTTGGTAAAGTAGAGGGTCAGCAAAAAAAGAGGAAGACCCTCAAGGAGGTAGATTGACACAGTGACTGCAACAATGGGCTCCAACATGGCAACGACTGGGGCAATGTTACAGCACCGGGCAGTGTTTAATTCCGCTGTATACAGGGTCACTGTGAGCCAGAACTGACTCAACAGTACCTAATAACAACAAAAATGTTGACCTCTAAGGAACATAAAAGAAGATTTAAGCAAATGAATCTCAAAGACACAAAATCACAAAGATGTCAATTCTAAGTGACTTTACAAATTAAAGTCCCTATTTAAAAAAAAGGGGGGGGGAGCTCTGGTGGCATAGTGCCTAAGGCATTTGACTGCTAACCAGAAGGCTAACAGTTCAAACCTACCAGCCACTCCTTGGAAGGAAGATGAGGCAATCTACTTCCATAGTGGTACCACTTCAGAAACCCAAGGAGGGGTCGCTATCAATTAAAAGCAACTCGTCAGCAGTGAGTTTGGTTTTTTTGAGTTTATTAAAAAAAAGGATAGGATTTTTGGAACTAGATAAGCTGATTCTAAAATTCACACAGAAAACAGTGAAAATAAAAAGCAATGGACTTATTAACTAAAAATATATATCGTTATTTCTCTCCTTCAACACTGTATCAGGTGCTAGCTGTCATGATTTACCAGCAACATCATCTGAAGAGTCTTCATCATGAGGTACAGTAGGCCTTTTACTTCTTTTGGATTTCTCAGGTAAAGCACTGGATGGCTCTTTCACCCGCATCTGTTATTTAGTGAAAAGATTTGGAGAGAAAATGAATACACTTTAATCCTCAAAATCAAATTTTATATATTTTACTTAATACATATTAAAATTTAAATGACTTCCATTTTAATTGGTTTAGTAAATCAATGGACGAACAGGGGAACATCAGCTAAGACCAAAGAAACTAAATAAATCTTTATTAAACCAATATAAAAAAGGTATATTCCACTTACTAACCACTCCCTAGATAAGTGATGTCTGTTGTTGTTGTTGTTATGTGCCATCGAGTCAGCCCCAAATCATAGCGACCCCTCCTTGGGTTTCTGAGGCAGTATCACTACGGAAGTAGGATTGCCCAACCTTCCTTCCGAGGAGTGGCTGGTGGGTTTGAACCGCCAGCCTTCTGGTTAGCAGTCAAGTGCCTTAGGCACTATGCTACCAGAGCTCCCAGTTGAATGAAAAAGCTAAAGTTCTGATCAATGGAATGAATGCAGATGTGATTAAATGCTGCTTCTGGGTCATGCTCTTCCCTTGCTCTCTGCCCTGTCCCACTAGCTCGAAAAGAGTACAAGCTGGAAGAGCCACATCACATAAGGGATGGAAGCCAGGAGCCAAACATAGTAAAGCCACCCTGCCTGTGCTGTACTCCCTAGCTCTGGACTATTGAGAGAGAAATAGATTTCTGTCTTGTTTAAACTACTGCATTGTTTTCCGGGCTTTTGTTGTTGTTGTTTTAACTTTTTACTACGAAAAAATTTTAAACATTGACAAAAGTTTAAAAAGTATGAATACTCATATACTATCTAGATCCCAGAACTATTAACATTTTGTCTTATCTGTTTTATCTAAGTATGAATATGTGTATACAAAGACATACATACATATATATCAATATTATGTGCATAGAGAGACATACATGCATGTGTGTGTGTGTGTGTGTGTGTGTTCTTTTTCTTTTCTTTCTTTTTGGTTGAATGATGAGAAAGTTGCTGAGATCATGACAATTCACACTTAAATACTTCAGCATACATCTCTTAAGAATAAGGACATTGTCCTACATAACCACAGCACCATCACATCTAAGAAAATTAACAGTAATTCCCTAATATCATCTCATATTCCATCAAATTCTAAGTTCCTTGACCCAAAAGTGTCTTCCATAGATGGTTGTTTTTGGTTTTTTTCCCCCTACTCAGGATCCAATCAAGGTTCACACTTTACATCTGGTTACATCTCTTTAGTACCTTTTAATCTCCAACAGTTCTTCCCATCTGTTATTTTCCGTTGATATAGGCTTGAAGAGACCTGGTCAGTGCATATGAGTCACCTGGAGATCTTATTAAAATATGGATTCTGATTCAATAAGTAAGACATAGGACCTGAGATTATGCCAATCTAACAAACTCCTGCCATGACACCCTTAGTAAGGGACCACAAATGATACCTTGAATAGTAAAAATGTATAATGTCCCACAGTGGATTTTCTAGTTTTTCATGGTATAAACTACCTCTAATGCTTATATTTCTTAAAAACTCAAAGTTAGCTCTAAAGTTTTTGGATAAAATGTAAGCAGTTTTTAAGCCACATTTCAGAGTCTCTGCTAGAGTATCCAAGTCTGAATTCTAACTAACAGTGTTTTCACACAGCAATTTTTATAGTTGTTTTTTTAACGGTCCAAGCAGAAGAATCTTTTAATTCAATACTAAATTCTGAATCCTGATTTAGTCATTCCATGTTTCACATAAGGAAGCTTTTAAATTTACCATTTTAAGAGTCATTTCTTTAAGTTTGTGGTCATCACTATTGAACTGAGTTGCCACAACTAATGCCTTCAGGATTAGAGGTATGTAAGGACTGAGTTCCTTAACCTCCTCATCTCTAACTGCCTTCCCCCTCTAAATTTCCACTTACCCTACAGTTCTACGTTGAAAAAATCACAAATTCAAGCATTCAGTTCTCTGACCACAACTTCCAGTTCTGCTAGTTTACTTGATCAGCCACTCTATTTTCTAGTGTCCAGCCTGACAAGAGGCTGCATCTCAACAAGTGCTTTCAGGACCACTGCAGTGGAGCAGGGAGAAGGGCAAGTGGTAAACAGAGAACTCTTAAAGCTTCACCTGGAAGTCACACGTATCATGACTGTTCATATTTTACTAGCCAAAGCAATTCACATGGCCACCTTTAACTTCAAGTAGACTTGGGGGTAAGGATGAGTCCAACCTTATCATATCAAGTACCCAGAAAGAGGCCAGAATATCTGTGCACAACTTTAATTACTACATCACCCACCTGTCAGAAAATCAATCCTACATGAACTCAACAACTCTCTTCATGCCTGTATCCAATCCGTTTTAAAAGAAAGCAGACTGGGTCTACTAAATTCATAACTTCATAATCGCAATCCCAAGTGGATCAAGATATCCCGTTATCTACTATACCTCTCTGGTGAATTAATTTACCTACTCTCCACAACTATTTCAAACATTTTTCACATTTCTTAAACTTTCAACTCCTCCACCTCCCAACTCACTTCTCAAAAAAAAAAAAAAAGAGAGAGAGAGACAACTAGAGTTTTACTTTACTGATCGTTCCATGCCCAAACTTACAGGTTTACCTCCATTTATTTCACAAAAGTTGATACCCTGATGAGCAATAGACATAAGTAATAGAAGCCAGGAAAAATGGCCCATGAGAAACTGGTCCAATTTTTCCCCTGTGACATCTAGATAAAGATGAGCATTAAAACAGAGAATGTTGGCAAAATAATAAACAGAACCACACATTTTACCTAAAATCTGTAAAAGACCTGTACCTTTTTATAAAAAAAATGATTAAACCTTAACTTGGTAACAGAGAATCAATTTCTGGTGATTTTTCTGATACATGAAATATGCCTAAACATACAGAATGAGTTGGCCTATAACCCATGTATTTAGCAATCACTTATCTTGTATAGTTTTCTTTCCAATACCCCTTTAAAGCAAAAAGAAAACTCCAATTAATTAGAGCTTCAAATACTTCCTATCAACAATATTGGGTAAGGGGACCTCTAAGACCTCCCACACATTTGGAGATTTGCATGGGCCTCACTATATAATTGTACTCATAGCTAACATTTATTACAGCACTGTAGTAAGGATATGGAGTCCCTAGGTGGTACAAATAGTAATGAGCTCAGATGCAGCCTGCTAACCAAAGAGCTGGAAGTCCATCCCCAGGAGCTTCAGAAGGCAAGCCAATGGTTTTCAGCTATTGAAAACTCTATGGAAAACAATTGAATTGACTGGACGGGCAAGTGAATAAAAGAGATATACAGCCTGATCATCCACCAATCACCTATCAGTTTGTCATACTGTGGTGGCTTGTGTGTGTTGCTGTGACCCTGGAAGCCATGCACCAGTATATCAAATACAAGCAGGGTCACCCGTGGTGGAGAGGTTTCAGCAGAGCTTCCAAAGACAGACAGAAGAAGGACGGGCCATCCACTTATTATAGAATGGGCCATGAAAACCTTATGAATAGCAGTGAAACACTGTCTAATATATTACTGGAAAATTTGATGAATAGCCCTGAAACACTGTCTGATATACCGATGGAGAAAGAGCCCCTCATGTTGGAAGGCACTCAAAATGACTGTGGAAGAGTTGCCTACTCAGAGTAGAGTCAACCTTAATGATGTGGATGGAGTAATGCTTTCAGGACCTCCATTTGCTGATGGGTATGACTCAAAAAGGGAAGAACAGCTGCAAACATCCATTAAGAATAGGAACGTGGAACGTATGGATTATGAATTGAGGAAAACTAGACATTGTCAAAAATGAAATGGAATGAATAAAGAAAGATATCCTAGGCATTAGTGAACTGAAATGGACTAGTTTGGGCCATTTTGAATCAATCATTACGATCTACTATGCCAGGAATGACAAATTGAAGAATGGTGTCACATTCCTCATCACAAAGAATGTTTCAAGATCTATCCTGACGTACAATCCTGTCAGTGATAGGATAATACCCATATGCTTACAAGGAAGACCAGTTATTACTACTATTATTCAAATTTATGCACCAACCACTAAAGTCAAAGATGAGAAAATTGAAGATTTTTACTAATTTCTGCAGTCTGAAATTGACCAACATGCAATCAAGATGTACTACTGATTATTACTGGTGATTGGAATGCGAATATTGGAAACAAAAAATAATCACCGGTAGTTGGAAAATATGGCCTTAGTGACAGAAATGATGCCAGAGATCGCATGATGGAATTTTGCAAGAACAACAAGTTATTCATTATGAACACCTTTTTTTCAGCAATATAAACAGTGGCTATACAAGCAGACCTCACCAGATGGAACACACAGGAATCAGACTGACTACATCTGTGGAAAGTGATGATGGAGAAGCTCAAAATCTTCAGCCAAAACAAGACCAGGAGTGACTACAGAACAGACAAGCAATTGTTCATATGCAAGTTCAAGCTGAAGCTGAAGACAATTAAGACAAGCCCAAAAGAGCCGAAATAGAACGTTGACTATATTCCACCTGAATTTAGAGACCACTTGAAGAACAGATTTGATGCATTGAATACCAATGACTGAAAAACAGGTGAATTGTGGAATGACATCAAGAACATCATACATAAAGAAAGCAAATGATCATTAAAAAGACAGGAAAGGAATAAAAGACCAAAATGGATATCAGAAAAGACTGAAACTTGCTCTGGTCAGACAGAAAAAGGCCAAGGGGGACCCGGACAGAGAAAGGAGTCAGCAGCAGGGATCCAAGTGAGAGGAGGGAACCCAGGCCACGCCCCACATGTGGCAAGGCGGGAAAGCAGGGAAAAGGACAGAAAAAGGCAGGGGGACCCCGCAGAGTGAGGAGTCAGCCACAGGGATCCAGGTGGGGAGGAGGGGACCCAGGCCACGCCCCAAAGCGGCAAGGCAAGAAAGCAGCAGTCAAGAAATCAGTCATATTGCACTGCACAAATCTGCTGCAAAAGATGTCTTCAAAGTGCTAA